ACCACACGCTGGTTTTACTTTGCTGCAGGTAGATGATTTAAGTTCGACTTTTTATTTCATAAATACGAGGAGGATTCAAATAGACATTGAGTATTGATTTCAAAGTAACCTTCAACCCAACGTCTTTTTTTTTTTCGGAGTGCAAAATGTTTTTGTTGCAGAAATACAATTAGTTTTTCTCTGTAGCAGTTCAAACGATATATGCAGTGTTACCTTCATTTTAGATGTCAGAAGGCTTTTGTGGCTCCTGGTATTTTCTTTTCTGTGGGAAACGGGTCCAAATGGCTCTTTGAGTGTTGAAGGTTGCCGACCCCTGCTCTGACTCCGTTACCAGTCCAATACCAGACACGCTGTCAGAGCAGTGTTTCCAGAGGCTGCACACAGTCCACTAAGAAACAGCAATTGTTCCTCATCTGCTACAGCCAGAGCCATGGAAGTACGTGGAGCCTGTGGGCTGCTGTGTTATGTCTAAAGAGTAACCCTGGATGGGCATGAGAAGGGCTCTCTGAGTAGTAATATACACCCTGTTGACACAAGGAAATTCAGATTCAGGAATGATGAGGATACTTTTCACTGCTGTTGTGACATCTCTGATTCTGCTTGATATCAAACTGCAATAAATTCTTCTACATAAGACTTGTGAGTCTCCTGAAAGTCCTTCCAGCACGAGTTAACCTGATCTCAACACATTTCCATCATAAATGCCTGAATGCTGTCTGAAATAAAATACGTTTTAAAAGAAGAAAACATCCACAATATAAACCATGTCATAGTTTTCTTCACAAAGACTGTAAAAAAAACAAACAAAAAAAAAGACGTACTCTAATTTATCTTTTCCTAAAACGGGACACCTTGATACTGCAAAAATGGGAAACTGCTCTGTTATTTTGATGGAGAAAAAAAAAGCAAAGAAAGCATTCAAGCTAGCATAGCCATGTCTTAGCTAGGCTACTTTGAAAATATTGCCTCATCAAAATAGGCTCTAGCTAGCTAGATGCAGCTATTTTTTACTCATTCTCCTATGTCCTCTTTTATTGTGTTGAAAATTAAGTCTTAATTTCTGATTATTCTGTATTTTCTCTTCTGTACATTGTAGTCAGGGAGGGGAATGTGAATCACATCAAAATGGGAGCTAAGGAATTGAAATGATTGACACAAAACTTCTGCAATAATTTTTTCTTTTGATTCCATAAAGCTTGGAAACTCAAGAAACTACAGATGAACATGTTTGTTACTCGAGTTCTGGCAAGGTTCAATCAAGGTCAACATCTGTTCCTTATCTTCATGTGCTCTCACGCAACTACGACTTTATCACTACATATTTTGACTGGCAGTGACCAGATAACATATTTGATACCNGCAGTAACATGCAGATAGCAGAAGGAAAGGACAAAACCGGCTGAAATGAGCCCCCGATGGCAGACTCACACCCTCATCCGACATCTGATGAGTCCGACTACACATAGCCAGGCCGTTGTATAGCGCAACCACAGATGACATATAATCTCTAGCAAAAAGTGGTCATTACTCAGTTTATATCTATCCACAGTTGCTTTTATCAAGAAACCAGACCCCTTGAGTCCATCACCTTTTGTCATTTATTAGCAACTATATGCAAACCAACCACTATTCACTTCTGTATTTTTACATAATGTACCCTCCCTACACTAAACATCTGTATGAAATGTTGCACTCTGCCTAGATCTGCTCACCTTCAGGGACTCACGCTCCGTGGTGGTGGATCCACCCACAACAGCATTACTTCGCACGAGGACTAAGAGTGAATTTCTTTGACAGCAGTTGGCGTGACAAAGATTCAGGGGACGGTAAGGTGCTTTTGTATATGTAACTCCAATTTAATAGAAAGCACTGTAGGTTCTTGTCAGTTTGTACTGAAATGTGATCAGTAACTAAAACCAAAGAGATTCCTCCTAAAAGAATGCTTTAACATTCTTTGAAAAGGCTTTGTTCAGACGATCTGGCCTATCTTACCACCGCACTGAAAAAAAAAAAAAAAAAGTAATTAAAATGCTTATTGAGACAAAACGTTTTTCATCATTACGGTGACAACAGTGGATTGACTCTCTGTAAAACAAAACAAACACTGAATTCACTTCATCTGAGCTAAGTCAACTCTTAGAAACTACACCCAGTAAGGCCTTGGTCATTGTCACAAGGTGAGAACAGACAAACATGTTACTATTTTCTCCTGTCTGGAGGGAATTAAAGGAGTCCAGCCTGTCAGATGTTTTGAGGGGTGGCCCATTAGTACAGGTGTGTGTAATCTGTATGTATGTAAGCTGGTTTTTGGCATTGGTTTATACCCACCCATGATATATGAAGTGTTGTGCAATTGTTCATTGTAAAATATGAGCATGTTGCATTTTTAGGATACCAGTGAAAAGACAGTCCTGGTTTTTTAGTATGTTCATGTTGATGACTTTAGTTTTCTGGAAAACTCACACTGACTCTTTTTCCCAGATTGATTCTGGGACCCTGAAAGACTGTTTTTCCATTAATATTTCAAAATGAGCTAAATTTTGACTACAGATTCTATACTCGCGTGACCAGTTCCTGACTCCAAGTGTAATGAATGTGATGGAAAAATTGATTCCAGCTGATATTTGTAGCTGCCTATCCCCATGGTAGCAATAAAACTTCACATGACCATATATCCCTTCAAACTGAAAATTATCCAAAAAAAATCCACAAAGTTTTCGGACCAACATTTAACATTAAATCTTGAAAAGTCACATCATGTTTCACCATCGTATTTGGTTGCCATCTAAAATGTTTTCATCATGTGGAATTGAATGATGAGATCAACACATCAGTACAACCTATCAATACTACCAGCCAGTATGGTTCTCCAAACATAATACAAATTGGTATTTTTTCTTGTATTTTAGATGTAAATTAGACAAAGCATACGCTCAAAACTGTTGGAAATGTAATGCAACTAAACACTTTCATCATACTGTTAATATGTCCTCAGATTTTGATTGACTTTTGATAGCAAAATAAGTTGAACAAACACATGTACTGGTAAGATGAATGATTTTGCCTTTACATACTGTGAAACAGGTTGCATATTTAGCGATTTATGTTATGTGAAGCGATGAAACATTTGTTTCGGTCCTGAAAGTTAGATTTCCTTATCGTCATCAGGAGTAAACTATTCAACATTCAAAAACAACAAAAAATCAAGAATCAACGCAATAGTCGTTCCTGTTGTGAGCTGGTTGATCTATCAGACAGTCAGTCAAATTCATGTTTCTTTATCTTTCAGGAAAACACCGACTGCACACTTAACAGCTGAGGAAATCGTCGAAAATGGGGAACGAACTACCAAAAGAAAGTAACATGGGCAGCACGCTAAGATGTTGCATATGCGGTAATGTCCTGCCCCCATGCCACACCTTCAATAATCTTTATCAAAGTACGATTCATGGGCGGAACGTGTATGTGTTCAATGGAGGTGAATACTACAGAGAAGTGGGCGTCCATGATAGATACGAGTGTAATAATTGCTTTTATAAGCCAATCAGAGATCAGGAGGAAATGAGGAGACAAGAAGAGAGGAGGAGAGAAGAGGAGAGGAGGAGAGAAGAAGAGAGGAGGAGAGAAGAAGAGAGGAGGAGAGAAGAGGAGAGGAGGCGACAAGAACAACTAAATCAAAGTCTACAAGAATCACAAAAACTAGCTGAAGAGCAGCATGAGAAACAAATGAAGAAGGACATTGAAGAAGAACATCACTCCAAGCAAGGTGTTCATGTAAGGTATCTGGATGAGTTTGAGACTGACTATGAACCAGGCAGTGATGATTTTCTTGAAATCCTCTCTTTAAAATGCAGCATCCCAGTTTCAAATCTCAGCCTCACTCAGCTGACAGCTGACCAGCTGGGAAAGATCCTGCCAGTCCTGGACAAACTTCTGTTTGAGGAATGGCTTAATGCTCCCCCATCACTCAGCACTCTGCANGGGTTTTTCCTTCTCAGGTTGTTGTGGTACGACTGTTGGGACACCTCATCTTACACCGGTTTGAGGTGAATTGCTGTGGGTGTCCTGGGTGGTTGGAGATTTGTGACTCTCCTGGAACACCGTTTAGTAACTGGCCCCCTCAACCCTTACTGTGCTGGAAGTGTTTCTTTTAAAAGTCATACTGTTAAATAAATGAAATGTCATCTTTTTGTGGATTTTCATCTGTTTGGTTTGTTTTAGGCTGCTGTCTCTGCAGGCACTTCAAGACATCCAGCATTCAACCAATTGTTCAATCAGTTATCCAATAAATGTAGCTTCTTATTTGAGCTACATCCGTCATCTCTCAGTTCACGGACTTGTGACCTGCGTATGATTAAGGCGGTATTGCCGATTTAATGCGGTTCTAAAACAGGCAGAAACAAATATCAAGAGGACATTAATGGGTTAATTCGCTGTCGGGAAAACATCTACAAGTGAGCATGCTGTGTCCAGTGAGCACACTTGGTGTTTGTGTGGCTTCTAAGCAACTCAGCAGCTGCCTGAATTGGTGGATGGTGATGATGTGAAGCCTTAAAGTCACAAGTGTCTAATTGTTGGACATTACATGTTGATACACATCTTTCAATCTGTGCCTGTTGCAAAAAAATATATAAAAAAACTGATTACTGGTCATTAATCACTTTCTTATAAATAGATTTATAAAACTCTGCTGTGCTGCTTAATGCACATTTACAGTGTTTTTTGGATGTCACATTTAAGTTACAATTTAAATGTATAAATTTAAATTACAAGCTGAGTAACAGTGATCAAATGAACATTGTGACTTTCTCAGTTTTAAATAAAGTCTTTCTGACATTATCAGACATTTTAAAGGTTTCATAGTATTTCAGCTACAATCAATGGCCACACAAAACCAGGAAATACTACCGTGACACTACACATTTTATCCATTTATCCGAACCCCTGAGGATAATCATGTGGATGTTATTAGTAGTTCAGGGAAATTTTAGAGACAAATATGCAAAAAGCTGTAAAGACTTTATTAAATGGTAGCAAATTACATGCATTATTGGGGTGTCCATCTGTTTAGACTCACGTCCTGATGCACTACAAACCCAGGCAACAGATCTGCACTGGGTTGTTCTGCAGGGTTCAGAAAAAAATACATAATTTAGGGTCACTGTAAAACGGATAAGAAATTACTAAATATTGTGCAAAGTGCTGGCATAACTTCTGACACACAGAAATAATGCAATTTAACTGACAATGTGCTTTTTTCCCTCCCCTCATGGCTACTAGTGAAAGGCAGAATAGTGAACACATTTAAATTCCACTTTAATATATCATATAGAATAATATAAATCTGTTGTGCATATTTGTCTTCGAGAAAATATACTTTATCGTAAAAGGTAAAGGGCACGTTTTCAGCATAAATCCATGCAAAGCTAAGTGCTTAATTTATTTATTTTTTCCCCACATGGACCACCCAAACCAACAAAGCTGGCAAGTGAAGTGTTATATGTCATTAAGGCTTCTTCATAATCTAGTGTAATACAGGAAGTTTATTTCCAAACTGAAAATCTGCAATTGCAACATCCACATGGTAGCACAGTGACTCTCGTGCAGCTTAGGAGAGGTCGGCCTCGTTTGGTCAGGTGTTGACGTGGCGCAGGACGCGGCGCAGTGAGAGTCCGTCTCGTGCGGTGCACATGGCAGGAAGGGGTATGGGCTCCGTCTTGTGCTCCACCACGTTGAACTGGCACTTCTTAAGATGGTTCGACATGCTGGGGATGTCGGTGAAACCCCACGACGACACGGGGCTGAAGGCAGTGCTGAATCGCCACACCTGCAGCAGGAAATACAAACAAATAAGGTGATATGGTTATACAGATGTGTGCTTAGATCAACTTTGTAATGAGTATTCTTATTCAGGGTTGGTTAAATATAAACACATTTGCATGTAATATTGGTTGTATTTATTGTCGAGCTAAAGTGGCACAGCAGTTTTTTTTTAAAAGTTGCAAACATGTATCATGTGTCTATGGTACTAGTCTTCTACTTACCGTATTTTTGACCTGCCATGACACAGTCCCATGAGGACCAGGGCGTTGTCTTTGTTCCCACTGCAGCTCCACTATTCCCCTGGTCTGGAGGAGGCTGGCACAAACCTCCCTCATAGTTCGTGATACCAGTGACAGCTGGCACAAGCTAAAACTGTCCAGGAATCCCGCTATGTGCCACAGTATCTCGATGGGGAGGCCACTGAATTGGTCAGAGTCACTTGGAAGGTTCACCCTTGGGCACGGCTGAACCCCGAAGGACCTGAGGTGTCTGTCGTGAACCACCTTGGCCCCCTGAGTGGACGGGTAAAACCTCCGCTGGGAAAAAGTGCAGCCGTAATACGCCAGAGGGCAGCGTTGTTCCATCCAACCGTTGAGACCCGCGTGAATGTCACCGTGGACGTTTGTGAAATGGGAAGAAAACTGGTCCCGGCGAAATGACTGACCACAGACGAAGGGGAACATGTGCTGGTAGCGGGGGTTGGGAGGGAGGTAGCGGTTATGTGGCACCGCCTCGACCTCCAGGGCTTCTAGAACCAGGCCGAGGCGGAGAGTGCGGAAAGGGCTGGGGTAGGAGATCTGAGGGGCAGCGTGGTCGCAGGCCGACGCAGACGCCATATCGCCTACTCTAGTGTTGGTCACCAGAATCGCTGCAGGAAAAGTGAAAGTCTGCGTGCCAAAGTCAACATGGTAACCGTCAACGTAGACTGTATCAGAGATCCTTCGACACTCTCTGGACTCTTCTAAACAGAAGAGTAGGGCTGCTGTGATCAGATCGATCTCTCCTAGACCCATTGGATCGTCGTCCTGATCTAAATCCGATGTGTCCACTGCCTTGTCCTCCATTTTGGGTCGAACTCTGCACAGTGACCTGTCTGCCATGATACCTATCCGTCCGTTGGATAGTGAATATTGCCCCTGGCCTCTAAAAAACTGGTAGTTGTAGAACTTCCTCTCTGGCCCATGGTTTTCTGAAAGAACCAGCCCTCTATCTTCCAGGACCACGTGACCAGCCCTGTGAGCCACAGCCTGGCTGATAGGCACTGGAGACGTCATTTGAGGGGACACTGGCTCCTGAGAAACACCAACATCCATGTTGTCCTGCACTTCAGCAGGACATGCTGCCTCCAAACAGGCCTCCGTTGCTCCTGACAACGGTCCATTGGCTGTGTTTATAATCTTTACATCTGCTTCTTTTCGATTCCCATTTCCATTCAAACAACTCGAACAAACACTTTGCTCCTTCGTGTCTCTTTTGTGCAAACCGTCAGCATCTAGAATCATTTTGTCTTCCAGTCCGTTTGGAAGCTCTCCATTGCTGCTCAGTCTACGTCTCGTAGCAGCTCCTCTGTTCACACACTCTGTGCTGCTTTCACCTGAGCTGGCACTGCTAGCAAACTCTAAAGCAGCGACTAAGCTTCTGGCAGTCTCCACTGTGGCCTCGTACAGTTTGCTATAGTGCTCCTCATTCAAGCCGTTAATTCCACTCATAATTTTCTCTTTCGCTGACCCTGGTGGAGGTGGTGGTGGTGGTTGTGACTGGTGTGAGGACTGTGAAGGTGACTCAACAGGAGCAGATGTTAGCATGGCGGAATGTGTTGCCCTGCTCTCCTTACTAACAGGAGGAACAAGCGGCTCTCCTTGTGCAGTAGGTGCCATGGCAATCACCTTGAGGGACTCGAGTAGCGTACGCTGGTCCTGTAGAGCGAGCGCCATGTCCAGCTGCTCCACCTCCTCCACCCCCCGGCTCAGGCTCTCATAGGAAGTGTAGTCCAGGCAGCTAACGGGCCATCTGTTCCACTCCATGGTGCAGCACACCACTCCAGCCGGACACACTTCCAGGTGAGCGTACATCTGGTTGCGCACCAAGGTGGCGGGGCAGCCGTAGCCGCTGTTGAGGCAGGGAATCCTCATCAGTGGACACATAAGCTGGTGCTCATCAACTTTGCAGGAGTGAAACACGGCCCCACACACCAAAGGACACGTGATGAGGTCGCAAGAAATCCCTGGTTCAACTCGGACCATGCATCTGTGGTTAATACAGGACATACAGTGGACATGGCCCTCCTCCATCTTCAGAGCTGAGGGAGTGGAAAGGTTCTGGAGTGACTGAGAAAATCCACTGTCCTATCAAAAAAAAAAGCAGAAAGAGAGAGTAATGTAAGTGCATTAAAGGTACAATAAAACAAGACTTTATTGAGTCTTGGGCAGATAATACACAGGGACCACAGTCTGTTTCAATACACTGTGTTGAGTCCTGTGCCAAATAAGAAGCCAACTGATGCATACTGTCATAGAGAAGAGAATGTGGACACGACAAGTGCTAAAACTGACCTATTGAGAAAAAAATACTAAATTTAAACTACTTTTATTCTCCAGTCACATCACATCACATTACACAGACACTCATACATATATATATGTGTGTGTGTAGTGGCAGGAAAAACCTAAATCCACAATGGACACCACACCAGGTCATTCATATTTCATGTCAACAAAAATGTTTGATCCATAAGCTATCAGGACACAATATTTCTAATATTCATTATTTTACTGTTGCATATTGCATGTGTGCATTTACTGCAGCCTTTTTAAAACAAGAACATTAGAAATAAAACTATAGGAAAGAAGCGTTCTTAGAACTTTATTGCACACATGAAACAACAAAATCAGCATTGTTTGCTTTGGTCCAGCCATGAATGGCTGCTATGAATGTGTAAAACCACCAGATGTCACTGTGTTCACTGAAATCCATGTTTTAAGTCTTTATTGTGAGCTGCAAGGTGGAGCGGTGGTTAGCTCCGTCGTCTCACAGCTAGAAGGTCGCTGGTTTGTGTCCCGGTGAGGACACCTGGTATGTTTCTGTGTGGAGTCTCCATGTTCTCCCTGTGCTCTCTTTGGGTTCTCTCCGGGTTCTTCCTCCCACAGTCCAGATACATGTTGAGGTTAATTGGTGATTCTAAATTGTCCGTAGGTGTGAATGTGAGTGTGCTTGGTTGTCTGTCGGTGACGTCACACTTTGCTGAGTAGCACATACGATGACATAAATCACAACAGGGTGAACTGTAATTATCATTCAAACTATAAAAGGGGAGATGCACTTTCTCATTATTTGTGGTAGAAGTCTCCTCTAATGAATGCATTATAACAAATCTATAAATCCAACTGATGGACGCGACAAACCAACACACAAGGCGCCGGTGAGCTTTCTACCACGGTATTCTCAGGCTGCTCAACAACTGTGAAACAGTGCCCCCGCTCCACCCTGTGTTAAAGTCAGCTGCAGTCACGTGATGCGATGAAAAGGCCGTCTCAGACGAGCACCTTATTAGGAAGCTTCCCAGCTCGATATCAAGGAGGCTGAAACCCCTCCTTTCTCACATTTGGGACTTGAGGACTGTCTCAGATCCACACAGACTAAGAATTCTGAGCACATTTTGAGTCTGTGGTCTTTTTTTTTACTAGAAAAGTGACATAATGTAATGAAAACAATAGGCATGTCTCGCAAAAAACACTTGATCTTTGAGCCTGGACTGTGTCTTTTGCAATGCAGTACATACAGCATGCAGAGGAGTCATTCACAGCTGGAAAATATGGCACACGGTGGCTCCTGGAAGACCTTATAAAACCTTTACCGTTGTGAAGTTATATAGACAGTTTAGTTCCAAAGGTGCAGCATGACTCAGTGTGATCTGAGAACACATGTTTCATAATTTATTGCAAGCATAAACTAAAGAAGTATTCTGATTTGTTGTATATTAACTAGAGCTGCAACGATTAACTGATTAGTTGTCAACTGCTAAATTAATCACCAACTAATTGGTTTAAGGATGTTTTTTAGAAAACAGTCCAAATTAATTATAAACTGATTATCTTTGGGTTAAGGACAAAACGAGACATTTGACATTTGTGTTGCCGTGTTAACAGCTACGCAATAATCAAGAAGAGAAAAAAAATCAACAGATTAATGAAATGAGGCTAATCAACAGCTGAAGCTAAAACTGTCTAATAAAAGCAAGGACATACTTGTTAGTGTGTAGTGTGGACTGGCTAGTGATGCTTCAGAGCTAACTGGTGCAATCTAGTCTCCTTTGTGTTATCTCACAGAAAGCTGGACAACCCAGTTACCGTCGTAGACAGACTACTGACAAAGTTTGTTACAACTGAGAAGCCCATCAATGATCCATCCATCCATCATCTCTACACCTTAATCGTGGAGGGGCTGGAGTCTATCCCAGCTGACTCAGGGTGAAGGCAGGTTCACCTGGACAGGTAACCAGTCTATCACAGGGCTACACTTAGAGACAGACAACCAAGCACACTCACATTCACACCTATGGACAATTTACAATCACCAATTAACCTCAACATGTTTTTGGACTGTGTGGGAGGAAGCCGGAGAACCCGGAGAGAACCCACGCTGTACGGGGAGAACATGGAGACTCCCGGGTGTCCTCACCGCGACCTTCTGGCTGTGAGGCGACGGTGCTAACCACCACTCCACCTTGCAGCCCCCCATCAATGATGCTACAGCAAACAAATTGATTGTTTGCCAAACACTGACTGCATGTTAAAGCTCCCAGTTTATTAACAACAACAGCTGCCTTCATCTGGACAAAACAGTCATAAGCATCAACAACAATCATGTGTTTTTTTAAGTCTTGAACATTTACTGTAGGTAAATAATTGCGGCCAAACAAAGCTGACCAAAGCACAACATGTAAGATGATTACATGGACATTACACAGGACAGGCTTGGTCCAGTTCTCCATTGTTTCCACTGTAATAAACAAGATGTACAGATGTGCTGTATCTATATAATAAAGACATTCTATTTTCCTAGTATTCTATAGGTCATAATCTTTACATTATGACATGTATGAATGAAATCAATTCATTTTAATGCACATCAGTCACCATGTAGGAGCTGCAGTCGCTCTTTGGTAAGTGGAAAAATGCATTAAATGACTTTAATCGGTGGTTTAAAAATAACTGCATCAGGTCTGATCGAGAGCACAGAGCAGGTAAAATAATGCAGAAACTTCAGGGTAATTACTCAGTTTTTAACGATTACGACTTCTATAATCAATTTAGAACGACGTATGAATATAATTAAATTCACATTTGAAATCCTGTCGCTGAACCGATGAACGCAGCCTGACTGGACAGCCAGAGCTCTCACATCACCTCACTGTGGTCACTCAGGCACAACATCAAGCTTCTTATCAAAACCAAACCTTCAGCTGTGGTCTGTGTGAAGCTGTCGAGCTTTAGCTAAGTTTGTTTACAGCCAGCAGTTTATAAGGCCGCTTTATTTCTCTCCGGTGGACGCGCACAGTGATGGCACCGGTGATGACAAACTGAAGCTAGTTCACGGTCCTGGCACTTAAAGTTTATTTAAAGGAAATAACAGTGCAGCAAAGGCTCCGACGATAAAAAAGCTTCAGCTAATGTGAACACCGGCCTGCGTGCTCCCACACTACTGCACGTCCGTCTGTTGTCAGCGGTTCTTTCTTCATTAAATCAACTTGTTTTTCTAACAATGGCAGCCAGCCTCCAGTCGCCGGCGGCGGCTAACAACAGCTAGCCAGCTAGCTACCTCGGAAGTTCACAACAAGGCAGCTGAGCGAGCTAACGTCGGATTATCGCGGGAGACGCTTCTCACCTGGTCGTCGTGTTGGCAGGAAAACGTGTGGTGAGACGGGTTTGATTTGTTTAAAAATACATAACCTCAGCAAACCATGCAGTTTACTGTAGTTACCTCAGTGGACAAACTGCTAATGGTAGCAAGCTAGCTGCATCTCTTCTCACTGCCTCCTGTGTTTTTTTTTTTTTTTCCTTCATCGAAACTTTATTGAGCGAAATCCGCTTTACATTTGACGCTGGTCATAAACAGTAAAGGGGAACGTGTGGAGGAACAATTTCAAAGAGCTCAGGAAGAACTCAGGAAAACGTAAAATAGCATACAGCACAATAAAATCATTTGTAAAAAAAAAAAAAAAAAAAGTAAATAAAAAATGCTACAGACAAAGACAACACTTGAATGAAATCCTTTATATTCAGTATAACGTGTGTGATTATTATTATTTTTAAATAGTGATTAAAATGGCCTTCCATTCAACAAATAAATATGTATTCCCATTAAATGAATAAATATGACTATTAAACAATTTTTGGAAGAAATAAATGAGATACGTGAGGTAATAAATATGGATTTCTTTCTTTTATTTAGTTTTTTAGATTTTCAAAAGGACATTTTTCGAAGGACTGCTTTTATTTAGGTCAGAGCACTTTATTTCTTTTTTATTTTAAAGAATTATTTTTTTATTTTTTCAGGAATGTATAAAAAGTGTAAGTTTGCATATCTAATGTAATATAAAGTATATAAAGTAAAGTATAGGCTATTGTGAAAGTGAGACATGCAAATCTGGTGTCTGTGATTTTGCATAATTTATTTCCAATACAGGTAATAGTGTATTGGGTTTACAACTGGTGGTGTAATTATGCTAACAATTCAAAATATCTTCCATAAATTATGCAAATTCTCTGTCAGTGACAGGGCTCGGCGTGGCGGGTAGTTTAAGGGTTCCTGTGTCACACCTTTGACCTTTGTGATGCCTTCAAGTGCTCTTCGCTGTGTGGGCCAAAGGTGTCATTTTAAATCATGTAACCCAAATTATTTTATATAGAATAAGCGATACATGAATTGTCATGTGACATTTGCCGCAAAAAAGCTTCGACAACTTGAAAAGCTACAGGACACAACCATTTTTTCCTTTTAACAGCTCATGACTGTTTGCAAAAACAAAGATGAAGAACACATTTAAAAAAAAATACACACACACACACACACACACACACACACACACACACACACACACACACACAGAGGACACAAAAAGAGATGTTCACATCCAATAAATAAAATAATTTCAGAAGAACATTCATGACCCTCACTGATGCTAATTTGATGATTTAATAGATGTCAAGTCTGTACCGGATAATACAGGACGAAGAACAAAGAATTCTAGTGAGTTTATCTCCAATCGTATGTTTGCAAAGCAGAGAAACCACATCAGTCTGTGGACCTGATTGCGCTGTTTTAGTAAAAATGCAGTAACCAGCAACAAACAGGAGAGATCACTGTTGCACCATCTGTTCTTTGCCGAGCAGCCTCCTAGTTGTTAGATCAACTGTGCCTCAATTGGTTGTTGTTGCTGTTGTTGTTGTTGTTAACAGAGGGAGATGCCACGTTCGGAGGTCGAGGTCACCTACATAACAGCACCCCGGGAGCTGGAGATGCTGACTCATGGACACATCAACAGGATGGCGCTTAGCAGTGGTGAATAGACTCTGAATGCACTTGTCATGAGGTGTTGAAACAGCCTGTGCAGCGGTACACACGTCACACGTTTGTATCATATAAAATGAAATAGCCACGTCAGCACTTGGAATGAATTTATGACGCTAAGTAAACCAGAAAAAAACTAAAAATCACAATACTATTTGCTCAACCATTGTCCAAACTCAACTCATTTTAAAATACACATGCTTTGGTTTTCATCTACAAATGGAGTTTTTACACCTTATATAAAGTATAATGTTTCATTAATTGAAATGTCTGTCTTGCAGAATGTGAACACAGTTTGGATTTTCTCCCTTAAACTCCCTTTAACTTGTGCGCTTTTAATAGCAGCCAGAGCTATGTTGTCATGCACAAATCTGATGATTAAATCAGGGGTTGCAGGACGTGTTTTTGCTCTTATTTAACAGACAAACTGAGGAGAGGATTTTAAGTCTTTGGATTTGCTTTTCGTCTGATCGTGTGGCTTCGCTTCACCACCGACTGTGCTGTGAACTACGCTCACCTTCATGCCGCACGTCTGTTGATTCGTTTGTTTTTGTTTTGTTGTCTTCTCAAGCACAAAACCAGTTTTTTGAGGCGTTTTTTAGACGACAAACCGTGTATTGATGTAACATTCTTTGCACCGCAGTTTGTAAACTGTCATTTTTAATAGAGTCTATCAATCGAGCGTTGGTGAGAAATAGAGGTGTTGAGCAAAAAAGCAGGGACATGCAAAAATGGGCTCGCTAAAGGATTGATTGATGGTGTTTGTGTGTTGAGGAAATTAAACAGGAATGCAAGTTCATGCTTTTTCTGCAAATGTAGACCGAAGCACCGATGGCAACATCAGTATTTGGTACGACAGATGGAAATGCTGAAGAGACTGTCCTTACAAAAGCCTCATATATAATGCAGTAGCCTATAGTTTATACTGCTCCTTTAATTGATACTAACTGGTCCCTTTGACCAATATTGTATCATCAGAATATTAATAGCCTGCCGCTTAAGTCATTGCTTGAAAGCTTTCCCGTCAACCCACGCAAACTGCAGTCCTCGAATAGACCAAGCAGCGCGTCACCCTTTGCCCTGAAGTGTGACTGCTGCATCCAAGTAGTCTCGATCCTTCCCAAACATGTCACTTTTATTCAGGTTCACTATCAGATGCTCGCTCCCGAAGCCCCGGGCACCAGCAATGGCAGTGTCATAGCGACTCCCTAAGTTTATTTATGATTTATACCGCCTGGCGTGAGTCACGACAGGACCCCACCACGTATTAGCCAATACATGCCCACTGGCAGGGGACGCACGCTTTGGCCTACTATCATATACGGGCTGAAGTTAGACTGCACTCACTTCCTGGAGTCGCCACACGGGGGCGCTGCATGCAGCAATTTAGTCCAATCGACTAATTTATTCTAGTTCTCTTAATGTAAATATATGAGTTTTTCCAGAATACTTTAAATTATAAAAATATAAGTTCTCATGACGTGAAATGATGAGTTGAATGAATGAACAGCTGAGAGTTCATTCATTAAATTAAGTTTATGAGAAACAAAACTAGCATATAAGCAGAGTTTCCAGCATGCTTTGTTACAGATTTCAAACTGCCCAGAAACTTTTGTGTTTTCGCAGTCCGAGAAGACGGACATGATGTCCAGACATTAAACCTGCCGTGTGTTTTAATACATTCGAAATTAAGTCACGTTTGTTCTTTACTTTTCATCATAATAATCAAAACGGTTTTAAGCATGACCAGAATTAACATTGAATTCACTTCCTGCACCCAACGACGTAAAATTTCATTGGATTCATTTATCTAATCCTAATCCAAACCCTAAAAATGTGTTTAATGGATGCGGCTAGAAATTCTCAATGTTCAACAAAGAAAAACCGCCACAAACTGATCCAACCTGATAGTTTACTGAACATGTTTTTTGAAGTTCAGTCAGTTTAACCTGGATAGTTCTGAACTTTTTTAATAAGCTGATTGTGAACAGATAAATCAGCCGAGGTGCAGTTAAGTGACACTTTTAATGTCAGGGGAACTTGCATCACAAAGCTGAATGAACTTTAAGTGGTTTGCCGTGTTGGAGCTGCTTCAAAGCTCCCATTTGGTGCCAGCAGCTTGTAGTAGCAGCCAAATTCCTGAGGTGGGCGATCACCATAAGAAAAACACGGTGTAGTTTATACGTTTGTGTGTGGTTTCCAGTCTGTAAGCCTGCATCACTTCAAAACACCATAGCTGCTCTCTCACACCTCAGTGGACTCTATTCATCAGATTACAGACTGGCAGCACTGAGGTCTAGGCCCTCAACCAGACGCTAGATGGCGCTAGGGACACCGTTGACTGCTCTCCGTGGTGCTGAAAACCTCCACATCCTTATTTTTGATGTAGTTTATTGGAAGCCAGAGGCCTCAAGTCAACTCAGGGTGAGATGGAGATGCAGGTTTCTCTCTGCTGCTTGTTTTCAGTCCACAATCCCTTCAGCTATAGTCCCATAATTCAAACAATTCAACAAATAACACCTGATCTCATGCCCTCTCTCTCTTTATAGATAAACCAAATATTGACAAACTGTATATAGACGAGTTGACATATTTGTAAAGAGACACAGTAATAATGGCGCACCGCCCTTAAACCCACAGACTCCTGGTTCACCTGACATTTACGCACAGCCGTTAGAGACGATCAGCTGATTTATAATGCATTATATGTAAATGCAGACTGTTTGTTGGTATTTCTGCAGCTTGCAGGGGGAAAACAAATTTCAGGTTTTACCCTGAATTTGGACACCTGTGTGGGCACAGATGCTGAGAGGAGGGGAACAAGACAATCTGACAATTGCAGGGAGGGAATCTTCATTTTTCGAATTGAGCGAGGAGAGAGAGAGAGAGAGAGAGAGAGAGAGAGAGAGAGAGGAGTGTGAGGGGAAGGCAGAGAGAGAGAGAGAGAGAGAGAGAAGGAGGGAGAGAGAGAGAGAAACTCAAGTAATACCACCGAAGACCACGCGCTACAGAAGACGGACGAAGGCACGCGACATGTCTCAAGGATTCAGGTAAGTTTGGACGCAGCAGACGCAGAAAAATCCACTGAAAACGTGGATGATCCAAATGGAAAAGATGGAAGGATTTGAGGTGACAGTTAGAGCAGATGACTCATGTTGTGCCTCAATAGGATGAGCTTAGTTCATGTGTTATAATAATATTTATTATTCTTATTGTTTTTATTGATATTGTAGATCGATGGTGGAGTGGAACCTCAGGCTGCTCGATAGATAGTATGAAGAATGTACACGTTTAGAGCAAAGAGCAAAAAAAGAACAGCCCCCTCCTCGTATAGAATCCAAATAGGTGTCGACTGTGGAGGGGTTTTGCTCTTTATTAGAAATGAGCTGAGTCAAATCGGGAAGAATCCTGTCTTGTGAGGGGATGACGAGTCCAGGGCAACAGTCCCAAAGACGTCCTTGTACGTGTTTGGAAAGCGCGCTGTCCGCGGTGCTGGAATCTGCTTTCTGCCTCATCCTCTCAATTGACAGCTGGCACTGATACAAAACCTGGGATTTTTTTTTTTCAATTAAATACCACGATTGTGTGAGAAATCGTCAAGTGGCTGGCGTCACAAATTACACGCACGGCAGCCCCGTTTTAACTGCTTGTACCCCGTTGATCCAGTCGGGTGTGTGTGCCTTGCTCAAAGGCATCTCGATGGGTCGCTGATAAGACAGGACGGTTGCCAGCTGTAGGAATGTGAAACAGGGCGTTGATGGAAAGGAGCATGCGTGTTCAGCCATTCTTCTTTGTACATGAACGTTTGGCACAGCTGGCCTCGTTTCTCCTCGCCTACATGTCACAGCGGTTTGTCTCTTTATTTCCGCAGGTGTGCGTGGATACGTCCCAGGTGTCGTGCTCGCAGGTCATGGCTGGGATAAAGGTGGAAGCACTGATAGGCGGCAGATAATATGCCTGCGCATTTGGCACGGCACACGCGATGTGGCACAATATGGCACGCGTAAAGATGGGTCTCTTCGCTCTCCTGTGTCTCTCCGCATGCGTCCTCCGCGCCCCGGTGCTCTGCCACAGCAGCGGCATCCACGAGCGGTCGGCGGTGCCACGCGCCGTGTCCCGGTCCGTGGCGCGCATGGACGGAGACGTGATAATCGGCGCGCTCTTCTCCGTCCATCACCAGCCGTCTGCCGAGAAAGTGGCCGAGCGCAAGTGCGGGGACGTCCGCGAGCAGTACGGCATCCAGAGGGTGGAGGCCATGTTCCACACGCTGGACCGGATCAACGCCGACCCCAACCTGCTCCCCAACATCAGCCTCGGGTGCGAGATCCGGGACTCCTGCTGGCACTCGTCCGTCGCCCTGGAGCAGAGCATCGAGTTCATCCGGGACTCCCTCATCTCCATCCGAGACGACAAGGACGGGTCCAAATGGTGTATTGACGGAACCCCGTCCAACCAGCCACCGCCCTCTAAGAAACCCATTGCAGGAGTGATCGGACCCGGATCCAGCTCTGTGGCCATTCAGGTGCAAAACCTATTGCAGCTCTTTAACATCCCGCAGATTGCCTACTCTGCCACCAGCATCGACCTGAGTGACAAGACTTTGTTCAAGTACTTCCTGAGGGTGGTTCCATCAGACACCCTGCAGGCCCGGGCCATGCTGGACATTGTGAAGCGGTACAACTGGACCTATGTGTCAGCAGTGCACACAGAAGGTGAGCGTCCATCACTACTCTCCTCTCATTACAATAAGTCATGTTGCCTGTTAGTAGAGAGAATGATGAATTTCTAGTGACCTAATTAGTCCTCACAGTGTTTTTAATTAACCGTAACATGGAGACTTTTGAGTTTGACAGCAGATTATAGTACATTTGATGTGGTGTTGGATGCAGCTGTTTGATGAGACTCTACAGGGATTCTGGGTGTTTGAGGGGGTGAGTGAGCATTTTAGTTGATAAACTGGGACGAATTTATGGGCTTGCATTGCCAAACAGTTTATAGGCTGGTCTCTAATTGCACTTTTGTATCGTTCATAGTGACTCCTTTACCTTTTTTGGAACATCTTCCCTTCCCTTAGAGTCAATTGCGTGTGTTTTTATGTTTTTGTTTGCCAGGAGCTGCATTTGAGGGTGTGTTTGGGTTAATGGCAAATCGTCTCTCCTTTTCATCATCACCACTGAGCTGTGAGGCTTCAGTAACTCACACTGAGGAATGGGGTGCACGTTGAGTAAGCGCTGGGCGGTGTGGCGCTGCGATATCTTGAGAAATGATCTTTTCTGTTGTTATATTGGGCTCTAATGTGTGAAGCTAAAGCTGAAGTTTCACAGCTCAATCACAGCAAGTTTCAAAAGTCAATGTCTCGTCGAACACATCAGGGGCAGTTTTAAAACTGTGGGTGTTCATTAGGAAATGTTAAATTACTGTCACGGTTTAGTGAGGTGGATGACGCTCAAATGACATTACTGTTAATTAGAGTGAGTATCTTCTATTGAGGAACCTCAGTATTTTCCTCTTCTTGAGAACTCTTTTTGTTCAGCCGAATCGCAACAACAGTGAATTGTGGAGACAGGAGGTTAGAAAAAGGAGTAACGGGTTGGGTCGGCTAAGTAATTACTGCGACATGAATTATGTCTATGGCTTTTCATTAAAGTCTTGGTGAAACACAGTCAGTGATGTGCGCCCAAATCATGACTGACAGGCTACATTACCCAGGATCCCCCCCGAGGAGCCGCAGACTCATGGGGAGTGTAAAACATCTTTGGAAAGTCCTATTATAGTCAGGTATTGGAGATGGGATTTGACACAGGTTGCTATCAGTTAGATGAAGACAGGGAGCTGGGGAGGTGTAGTACCTGGAGGCAGAACTAGGTGGCGTCAGCTGTCTGATCTTGAGCATATGCCCACATGAGGCTCCTCGGGGACTGAAATCATAATTTAGGAGTAATGACAGTCCGGTCAGGGGAGGGTGAGGTTGTTTGCAAGCAGCGTCGCTCGTTCAATAGGTTACAGTGAGAGTGATGGAAGCAGGAGGTCTTTTAATAAAAGTGCGAACTTGTAAAGCTTTGGATGTAATTAACAATTTTTTTATTTTTTTTTTACCTGCATAAATTCTGCAATTAAAGATCCTTACACCAAATAACAAACAACAGCTCAGAGCCACTGTAAACGCTCCTCACTAAGACTGAACATCATAATTTGCCCGTTGCAGCCCTTGCTCTGACCTTTTGAGGAGTCATATGTAAATTTGCTTGTTTGTTTTCTTCTATCTTTAGTTATCTCTGAAAACTGTGGTCACGACTGGCTTAAGCTTACGAGTTTTCCGCTCTCCACCACCTTAGACAAGTTATAAATGCAGCTCGTTGCCCGTAGCAACAGCTAGGGCTGCGAAAATTGCATAAATTACCTGTTCTGATTATCATCTGTCTGGTAGGAATGCTCGGAGTGGGTTTTTTTTTTTTTTTCTTTTTTGGTGGTCATTGTCAAACGGGCTGTCAGCTAATGCACCACCACCCACCCGTCTCGCAGCCTAGATGGAAGGAGTAAAATAATTGGATATCATTATTTCCATTTACCAGTGGGAGAATGAGACGAGGCAATTGAAAATATCATCAAAGGACTATTGGAAAACCAACACATGGGCCCATTGTGTGCCACAGTAAATGCATTACTTGTGCTGCCTGTTTCAGCTGCTGTCTTCCTTGCTCTACACAGGCAGGCCCTCAAGAACACGGCCTTTCACCGACACAACGGCACAACAGACACTTTCTGATTTTTTTAAGCACAGGTCCTTTGACTTCCTTCCTTCCTTGCACAAGTGATCGGATTGTCCCTGTAATCCAGCTCTCATGCTAAAAAAATCTGCGGGCTTTTACCAACAACCCAGACTGTGGCACGTTACTCAAACTCTGGAGTCCGTGTGGAAATAGAAGATTTAGAGTTAAACAGCTTTGCTCTTGATTGGGATGTTGTGTGGTTAAACAGGGAGCTATCTTCACCCCTCGTGGCTTTGATTGCAATCAGTAGCCAGCAAAAAAAAAAAGAAACTGTCTGACACTCATTATCAGTGGATCAGAGCTTCGGTTCAGACGGGGCTTGATGCAGTGAACAACCGCTGGGGGATGTGCTTTAAGCAGAACACGGATTGTCCATCAGTGAAATAATTAGAGATGTATGGTTGAAAGCAATTACTCATGCCATGTAATAGTGTCAGTGTGTTTTTGCAAGTAACAAGGCATGTAATGCTTTGCTATCACTGAGGCATTGATTGTGCTCCGATCAGATAATAAAGCCCCATATGCTGGGCTCACATCCACTGCATTATCAATGTACACAGAGGCTAATTAACCTCTTAAGACCTGCTAAGACCTGCATACACATGCGTGGACATCACATTTTGGGTTCTATTACCACAGTAGTTATTTTTTTAATTTTTTTAAATTTTTAAATTTTATTTTTTTATTTTTGTTATTATTTTATTATTATTATTATTATTGTTATTTTATTTTGTTATTTAGTTTTATTTAAATATTATATATATATATATTTTTTTTTTTTCATTTTAATTATTTATTTTTTTTAAATATGTTTTTATTTTCTTTATATTTTTAAATTTTTTTTATTCAATAAAAAATTCACATCAAACAAGAGCTCAGGTCTTCAGAGGTAAAGGAATGGGATCACCAGACACTGAAAATACATTTCACACACACAAAAAAAATTAAAAATCCCAGAATGAGTGTTTTTCCACTGAATTCTCACTATTCTCTCTCTTTTTTTTTTTTTCTTTTTTCATCATCTATAGGAAACTACGGGGAGAGCGGCATGGAGGCCTTCAAAGAGCTGGCCTCTCTGGAAGGCTTATGCATTGCCCACTCGGACAAGATCTACAGCAACGCGGGGGAGAAACACTTTGATCGCCTTTTGAGGAAATTACGAGAACGTCTCCCCAAAGCTCGCGTGGTGGTGTGCTTCTGCGAAGGCATGACCGTCCGAGGGCTCCTGATGGCCATGAGGCGGCTGGGCGTGTTCGGAGAGTTTCTCCTCATCGGGAGGTACGGATGTGTGTTTGTGTTTTAAACCTTTGAATTCAAAACTTCAGAGCATCTCTCTCTCTCTCTCGCTCTCTTTTTCTTTCTCTCTGGAAAGCCAGCGAGATGCTGTGTTGTCTTCCTGATGTGCATGTCACCAAGGCAACCGAGAAGAATTAGACCACATTCCAGTAGCGCTGAATAGAAATGTTCTCCAGCAATGAATAATTGGTGTTGCTGTCACAAATGCAGAACGAGGGGAGGAAACAATGCCTCAAGTTCAGCCTCTCTTCGCTTGTGCTGTGTCTTAATTGTTTTTTTCTTTACATCCAAGGCAGCAGCAGTCATGTCACATTTAGCGGGCGTGCACGCAGAGATCGACTCCTGAACATGTCTCCTTTTGTGATTACACCTTGGCTCCATCTCCATATTTCTCATCTCCCCTTTTCCGTTCTCTGTCTGTTAGTCAGCGCTAAGTGACAGTGACTGACTGCAGCCGTAATCTTAGTCATTAGAAAAGGGCAAGTAGAGCCGTCTCGCACACTTATACGGTGTCATATTACACCATGGAAATCGTCCTCGAGGAACATTCACAGTTGTCAATAAAAGTCACAGCATTACTTGATGCCACTTTTCAGTTCATTCATTTAATATCTCTTTCCCACATTGTGGCAGAGAGGGACGAGGGCTTTTTTGTTTTTTTTGGCACCTGTCTGTCGTGGGCCAGTTGTCAGCTGTATGTTCCAGGAGAAGGACATTAATGAGACAGCTAAGGATGACTAAAGCTTGTAGCCTCATCAGCCAGTGTGCGCTGGAGATGTGCAGAACGCTGAGCGGGTGCGACTCGCAGCAGCTTCCATCATTATTGCGTGTTGGTTCCTATCAAAGATTTTGGTTTGTAGTCTGCCAGATTTTTTGGGATCTGTGTTTTTCTGAAGAGATGTGTGAATCCATTAGAAACTGGGAGCTTAACAAAGTTACAAAATGCTTCGCAAAAAAATGAAAAATGAAGCCAGATTTAATGAGAAGGAGGCCAATGGACACGAAGCACAGTGAATAAATACAAACCTACATGAAACGGTTAAAGACGCTTTAGGAGGAGGTTTGAAAGAAGCCACACAGGTTCAGCGAGGCAGAGCGCTCCAGTGTGGGAGCCCTGATAGCGAAAGTCTGATCGCCCTTGATCACAAACTGTGACCTCCGTCTGCAGATGTCGGTGATCGATGGGGTACGAACCACATCAGTGAATCAGAGGTGGCTTGAGGAGAAAGGCTCTTTTAGGCCTTAGAAGTGAGATATGGGTGCATGTGAGAGGCGATTTCTTGTTGTTGTTGTTCAAGAATTCTTGGCAAAGCATAATCTGAGAACAATGAGGAAAAATGCTCTGTTCATCAAATATGTCCAGATTATCACGAGGTGTAACGACATCGTAGTGCCTCTCGATGCTAAAAGATGCGCTGGCACGTGTGTGTGGCATCGGTTTCTCTCATCGTGGTTGTCGCGGCTAATCGGTGTGTTTAGAAAAACTCCTTCGCTCTTTGATTCTCACTGTTCAAATTATGCCGCTGTGGACGTCTCTGGCATCAGTTTCTGTTGAAGCTGAACTAAATGAACGTTGATGAAGCGTATAAGCAATACAATTTGTTTAAAAAAAAAAAGAAAAAAAAGAACTGGCCAAAACTCGTCATGAACTGATCTCACTCTCAAGTGTTGTTGCACAGTCTCCTGTAGCCTCCTCTCCATCCACTGTTGTCCAGTTCGATAATCTTTTGAACCAGGAAGTGTGAGGAAGGAGTGACGTGCAGTAAAGATCTGATCGCCCAGAAGTCAAACCAGCACAGCTTCATGCTTTCAAACTTCATGGTGAAGATGTGAATCAGGACTCCTTGTTGCGTTACAGAAAACCTACTGATAAGTCAGTCTGATTTTCTTGCGTGTACTTACACATAAAGATGGTTTGATCAACGCCTCTTGTGTTGGCTGGCGCTTCTTGTCATCGCCATTATCCTCAAAGAAGCCTCTTCCTATTTCCTGTAATATCTCCCAGGGGTAGAAAATGAAGAGCTGTTAAGTGCTGCACTTACCAGCAGCCTGTGTTTATGTCGAATGCGTTATATTCAATGCATACATGCATATTTAGGTTCTTAGCAGGTGACGGCACTCTTTCTTTTTCAGATGCCTTTTAAATTATCTATTATAAGGACACTCTGGGATTGGCTGCATTCCTTCCCATATCTCTACTTTTTCACTTTCCTCCATAGGAGATGGGAAAGTGTGTCTTTTTTTAGCTTTTGTGGAAGTCTCTATGGGCGAAAAGAAATGCTTCTGGGTCACAGAAAAAGAGAGAGAGAGAGAGAGAGAGAGAGAGAGAGAGAGGAGGAGATGGAGACAGAGTGTGTAAAAAAAAAATGACAGAGCAAGTCTGGGCCAAGACAGATGCCAAGCCATGTGTGTGTGAATGAAGCTGGCAGACAGGTATTAGCTCATCAAAAGGAAGCTTGTTTTCTTAATTTATGCTTTCACCTCTGGAAAAGCCACTTCTACGCAATGTGTGTGTGCGGCTTTGTGTGCACGCAGAGCTGCGGAGAGAAACAAAGTCTTGCATTGAGACCGTAGCACAGAACAGGCACAGTGTAGAACAAAGTCTTATGTTAGCATGTGAGGCGGCTCCATTCTCGCGTGATCCACGAGATCACAAGAGAAGCCGTCTCGTCAGGCTTCAAGCTACGTGCTCTGCGGCTGAGCCCGAACGTTTGGGATGAAACGGCGTCCTGTGAGGAGCTGCAGGCGTCCGTGGGCGTGTTTTAGGTACGATGACAAACTAGTGAGTCCGTTTGTCTGTGTGGCGGTAACAGAGAAGTGGCTCACCAAACCACCTGCCAATCATGTTTTGAACACACCAAACAAACCATCTGGCACATCAGGTCCAGTTTTTCTTCTGTGACTTTGCTGCTATCATCTGTTTTCCTTGTGAAAGCGGGTCTCTCTTGGTGATAAACTCACCACACAGCCCTCCCCTATGAACTGTTTCACATTTTTCATCTCCACGCTTTAATTACACAAGCGTGCAAATTTACGGTTTCATTTCGCTCTCATCGCTTTCATTATGACTCTTTGCAGTTGGAGCAGGCAGCTGTTTTCAATGGATAAGCTCCAAAAACCCACTTTTCACGACCTGCCCGGCAACAAACAGCTGACAGACGGAGTTAACAACCACCAGGGGAACACATGAGACACAAACATGAGCAATAACTGTTGCTCCCTTACGCTGGATGTGTAAATAAACAGTTTGCAAAATCAGTTTTAAAGGTACGAAGAAGTCAGTGCTTGTTTCTGCTTCAGCTGGTCCAGGAACGGTACCAGAAGAATCTCTGTTTTATTTTATACAAACATCTCCCAGCGTGTGACACCACGATTTCAGTTCAGTGCTGTAGATGACAAATACATCAGAAAAGGTAATTGAGTTAAATCAATTGTTTCACTGCATCCTGTGTGACTCAACTGACAAAAAAAAAAGAAAAAAAAAAGTCGATATCTCCTTGAAACAGCCGTTACATAAAGCTGAAGAGCAGACCGGCAAAAACATATCAGAACAAAGGTGTCAGGAACAGTCAGGGCCCATTATCTGTCCAAGGTTTGTCAGAACCACAAGCAGTGTCAGAGTGTTATTTTAGTATAAATAAAAAAAGAGACAAATCTGAAATCCTCCAATTATGTCGTCCTCATCAGTCCAACCAGCAGAAAACTGTAACGCTCTGAACTGCAGAATCCATGTCTGGGTTTGTAACGCATGTTTTTATTCTCAAAACTTGCAGAAAGTACACTATTTATCGTTGTAAGAACCTGTAAAAACACACAAAATATAGAGTTTTTCTGTTGATCTTTGATATATTCGTCTGTAATTTGCTATTCTGTCAGAAACATCGACTAAATCTAAGCTCAAAATTGTGATATCTCATGAAAGTCACCTTATTTTCTAGTTAATATTTAAAATTTGGCACAAAAACATTCTGTGAAAAACGAAAAATTTTGCGCTAGAAGCCGTTCGATGACTCGGCTGCAACCGACAGTCATGTG